AAAGAAATATTTTCCATCTATCTATCTCTATCCCACTTGGCCAAGGTTAGATCACAGAAGCTGCAGGTCAGTAAGAGAAGCCTTTTATCCAGCAACACTTTCCAGCTCCTTCTTGGGAATCTCAAAATGTTTCCAGGTCAGAAGGAATAAATAAATTATTCCCTTCAGTGACTACTGAGTATTTTCCAAAGTCTCCTCATAAAATAATGTYCACACCAACTCCTAACCCAAAGTTATCCTAATCAGTTGCCTGAACCATCTTATCTGCTGTATTTTGATCAGCAGCTCTATTCCAAGCTACACCAGATAACAGAGCTCCTCACCCTATCTCTAAATATGAGCCCACTCAACCTGCAAGAAGAGTACATTTTGGCTGCTTGTGTCTAAAATGTTTTTCTTTTTTCTCGTCATGATTTAAATTGCAGCATCATGAACATTAGAAAGTAGCTGGATCAGGAAATGGAGAGCTTAGTTTATTTTTTTTTTTGGCTCTGCTCCTTCATCACAACAGACTCAAGCAATWCTGTCATTACTGTGAATGGGAATCCAATTTGTCAAACCATCTGTGTTTCATAGTAGTTCTGATGCTCATAAAATCAGCCTTAATTYGCCCTAATTTATAATCAAAGTTCTGGCATCTTGGCACCACTTTTCACGGTTGTGAAACCCAAGCAATGTCTGAGTACAAAAACTAAAGATTTCTGATTGATGTTTCTCTTTTCTTTTTCTTATATCATGCAGTAAGATGCTATAATTTTATATAATAAAAAGAATAAAATGTAAAAAGGACTTTTGACATTTTTTAGCGTTATTGTGTTTTTCGTAGTATAAGTTGCATCAGTCACGTCAGTCAAAAAAATACATCATGAAGAGAAAAAAAACCCAGATAAGTTGCGTCTGATTTAGAAATTTATTTCACAATGTAACAAACATTTAATCTGGAATAACACAATAACGAGAGGTCTGGGCCTCCCTGCTTAAGCTGCTTGCCCCACTACCTGACTCGGAGTAAGCAGGGTATAAAGGATAGATAGATGGATAACAAAATAACACAGAACAGTTGCAGAACTATACCTGGGAGAAGTGCAGAAGTCAACTGAATAGTCCACCACAGATCTTCTTCCTTGCTTCAGGGCTTCATTGCTTCCTCACACAGACACCGAATGCCACAGCAGGTAATAAATGTTGAATAGAAAAAAATGCATAAAAACACTCTAAATATGTTAAGAACTACAAATCGACTTAAAATAATTTTATGACTTTAATGCCTTGTTTGGATTCACATAATACATTTTGTGAGAATTTCAAATTTACCCAGCAGACTGTTAGATGTCACAGAGGCATACAGGGTCGACAAGGTGAAGAAGTGTCTGAGGCTGAATAAAATGTATCTAGGTTCAGAGACTTATTTTAGTGCGACAGTGAAAAAAAACATTACAGTAAAACTGACATCCTGCTTTGTAAGTCTGGGTGGGAACAGATTTGAGCATGCCTGAACCATTTGCAGCGGTCTTTGCTGACTGCACCTGGGGTTTCTGCATGAGGCTTCAGAAGTAGACTAGTTGAAGCTGAGAGTACTTACTCCAAGAACTAACATAATGTGAGGACTTCATTTTAAATTTTGACTTGCAAACCCCACTTTAAAAATAGCCGGGTTATCCATTTATTTAATAGCGCTCTGAGCCGTTTGTGTGTGATGTTACATGCATGGCACATCCCCATGAGAACAGAGGTCAGCCTGTTTTTAAATGATGAAAAAAGCAACATTTGTGTGCACAACAGGTGGAAAATGATCAGTTTGACCTGGATTCTGTGTGATTGGCAGGAGTGACTCAGATCTGAATGCAGCTCACACATAAATAGGACTCTGAGTGCAGGAATAAAAAATAAAATAAAAAAAGATGGATGCAGATTTTTTTATACAAAGTGGACGGTTCATCCGAAACCCCCTGGTTATGGGCCAGCCCAGCCACTGAGGGAAACTATAAGTTGATCATTGGCTTCTCTTCAAAAATTGTGTGTTCATGCGCGCGCGTGCGTGNTGTGTGTGTGTGTGTGTGTGTGTGTGTGTGTGTGTGTGTGTTTTAGTGTGAGAAATGCAAAGTGTGGCATTTGTGAATCATGAAATGTGAGTGTTTCACAGTCAATGCATGGGACTTGAGAGCACCGATCTTATATTTTATTCTTTTTTGATTGTAGTCATTTACTTTAAACAGTACGAGAATTAACAAGTCTCTATTTAACGTGCTTCACTTCGGCACTGTAAACACAATGTTTAACATTTCAGAAATGTAAAACTGTTTTAATCGTCCTTGTTTCTTCCTTGTTTTAGGGGTATGGCATCACATTCGGGGTGTGACTAGGCTTTCTGTAAATATTATAGGGACACGTAAGCTGGGGGCCAATTTGTTTTAGATCTTCAGAGCCAAAGACCGGCTCGGAGTGAAATGGCATCTTTAGATGTAAAATATAAACATTCAACTCAGACCTCAATTCTGCACATTATTCACATTATTCCAATCTGAAAAATTCTTTACACTCATTTTAAGGGAAAACACCAGTTGTTTTCTCCCTTTTTAAAATCTGTCTAATAATCAATGAATAATGTGTCCTAACTCCATTCTCACCTCTTATTATTCAAGTATAAGATTTATATCGCTCAGTTTTTTATGTTAAACTTRGGGATATGAAAATGTTAAATTTCAATATTAAAACCTTACTTAGGACAGAGRCACATATACACAACAGATGCAGTTGAAGAAATTGAAATTTAGAGGACACAAACCAGAATGCAGCATTCATGAACAACATTGTCATCASTGATACACTGCCTCCCTGTCCCTCCTCTCCCTCTAACTCCTTGTTAGCTTGTGGCCTGCAATATCAGGCTTGGGCTGCTGGTGTTCTTTCTCTGTCTATAGTGTCCTCGTTCACCTGGGACTTCTTCCATTAGTGAGATTATTCCGCCACTACAAGTGGATCAGCAGATCGGTCATGGATTGTCATTCTGGGGAGCATTAGTTCATGAATCAGAGATAAGAGATGTTGTGTATTTAGGCATACGAAAGTGCTTGTGTTACTAAATGTAATAAAGGTTTGGTAACAGTGTGATGCTTCCTATCAGATCACCTTGAGCTGCGTAATCAAATTCTGTTTTCATTARGATTTAAGGGAACCCTCGCTGTACACAAAGATCTGAGCAGACTAGGGTGTGTGAGATAATCATATCCTTGTGTGGAAACATGTAATATGTTACATAATACACTGTTATATCCATAAATACATAAGTGCAACCATATAATTATAATTATTTCAAATGCAACACTGCATTTGACTAGGTGAAAAATTTACTTTCATAAATTTTTAAAAGGTTCTGGAAGCTACTTGTATTCCATTCATTTGCCACAGAATTCAAGTAATAGCAGTTTCTTAGATGAAAAGAACAACTAAAATCTTCTTCATAACATAATTCAATCTAACCAAACAAAATCTGAAGACAAAGATCGATAACATTCAAGTCCCTTCTAAGTTTTCTTCATTTCTCTTGCAAGAGGTTAAGATTTTGTTATTTTTTATTTTTATTTTTTACTGGATTTAAAAACTCTTACAGTCACATGTCAATGGRGTGTCCCTGGGTGAGACACAGAACCCCCCATGACCTCTGATGTGTGTCCTATCAGTGTATGAATGTGATTTAAAGCACTGACTCATCTCTAAATAATAATTCATCTAGATTAGCTTTGTAAAGGGATGTAGTACTGTGTGAATGGGTAAATGAGAACACAGATTGTAATGTAAAGTGCTTTGAGTATCATGGTTGGATAGAAAGGTGTTACATAAGTACAGAAAATTTACCATTTCAGCTGTTATTCCACTTATTGTTTTATTTTCTTGATAAAAACTTGCTAGTCTAAAATCAAGCAAGAAAACGAAGAAGACCATCAGAGTTGATCATTTCCTTTTTTGTTTTTTTCACTCTTGTTATAATTTGAGCGAATGCTAATTTTTATTACAGCAAGAGAATTTGTTGAACAGTAATTAGCTTTTCTTTGTGTTTCCCTATGAATTTTACAAAGATTCAACCATTTTTTACTGTATATCTTCTCATCATCTCCTCTGCCTTCTTTTTTTATTATTTAKAAGAGTAAAAGCTCCTACAATAATCAGAGTGAAGCATGTAAGAAAAGAATGCTGCACTGACTGTGATGGACATGATAAACAGACATATAGACGACAGCAGAGAGKCAGGCAGATAAAGGTTAGGTGAGGACAGGCTGGATTAAACATCCCACGCTGTCCTGCATTCTCAAGCTGCTTCACATGCTTTTCTGATTTTAGGTTTTTCTGAGGAGCATTGTGTCTACTGTTTATGCACAAATTAATGTGTGGGCTTGGATTTCAAGCTAGAATTGCCTTTTTTTTTAACTTAGAAAGACGTGTGTATACCACACTTCACAACAAAGTCCGTTTTAGAGAGGACGAGTGAGTTGTCTAGATTTATGTAGATGTACTCATGTTTGTCTTTGCATGACTTACAGAAAACTCATTACATTCCTTGGCAAGTTTGACCTTCCATGGACCTCTCCACATAATGAAGTGCACATGTATTATGACAGAGTGTTTGTTACAAGATGTAAAACTCTTTCTTGTCCTTGAGTTCTCCCCCTGGCAAAGCTTGGGTTTAGATTGTGGATTCTTCTCACRCAGACGTTCTCTAAGAACGGGCCTTCCCCGTTCTCCCTTGCTTCTTATTTTGAAAGTCAACCTCTGACTGCCCTTCCGTGGATCAACATCATCAACAATGGCACAGACTCTGAAAATAAAATAAAATATATATAAATATTAAAAACGGCACATTGTTCTTCCATCTCAATTATTTTTTTGAGACGCTCATTTTCTTCTCAGCTGTTTCCTTTCCATCGCTCTGAATGGACAGGTCAGTTTTCATTGAGCACACCAAACATCATCTGCTCTCATCAAAGGAAGCGTGGGCTATTTTTCACCAGACATCATTTATCATCCRCTTTTAAGTTTGTTTGTACAGCTATTTCTGATAGAGAATTACCATATTGTTTTCACCATAATTTGGGTAATTGCAGCTTATCTGTTGCATTCAAGCACAAGTTTTCCCATTGGTGATACAATAAGRTTACTGTAGATTACTCTTAGGAACTGCTAAACATGACTCAGCACTATATTCATTGTGAGTTTTTTGTCGGCAGAAAAATAGGAAATTTATTTTAATTCTGTGTAATTGTCTATAAAATAGCAGTTGCAGAATTTGTTGAATGCACTTAGCAGTGTACTGTACACTCGACAAATGACAAACAGGTTTTCTATGTTTGGTTAACAAGAAGATCTAATGCACATTTTCGGGRACAATTTAAGGTACTTTTCAGAACCTGATCAGGTCGAGCTATGATGAAAGGTGATTCCTATTTCACTTTTACTKCTTACTCTTGCATGAAGCTTTTGGGGTGCCCCTAGTTCCTAATTCATTATTTTGATCTCCATCTTCATAACCAGAGGACTGGGCACAGGGCCCAAGTTATTGAATCATGGACTATTATAGCTGTCTATTACATCTCTGAGTTAGTGTTCAATGTGCACACCAAACACCTGTTAAGAGGGTAAAACTGTTAAATTCATGCTACAAAAAAATGCTCAAACCTAAATTTTCACCATCCATCCATTTTCTGTACACGCTTCTTCCTTTCAGGGTCGCATGGGTCACTGGTGCCCATATCCAGCAGTCACAGTGCAAGGGGCGGGGTACGCCCTGGACAGGTCGCAAGTCCATCACAGGGCCACACATTTAGACAAACAAGACAAACAACTATTCATTCCCTCACTCACACCTAGGGACAATTTAGAGTTATCAATTAACCTAACAGTCATGTTTTTGGTCTGTGGGAGGTGTGAGGTGCAGGCAGGGAAAAATGCAGGGCACAGGCAAAATCCAAAATGTAACAAAAATGTTTATTTTTAAGAACAAAAAGAGGGCTGTTCTGGCACCAAAAACTGACAGAAATCTCAGGAGGCACATGGAAGACAGCACAGTACAAAACAATGATAGGACAGACACTGAAGACAGGACACWGAATATRAAGGCAAACTAATCAAGGACAACAAGAATCACCTGGAGGAGACACAAGGAAACAGGTGAGCATGGGCTGGGCTGGAGCAGTGCAGAGATACACAGGGGGACACAGAAACACTAGAAAACTTAAAGCAAAAACACGTGGATCATGACAGGAGGAAGCCAGAGTACCTGGAAAGAACATGCAAACTCTACCCAGAAAGGTCCCCGGGCCAGGATTTGAACCGGTGACCTACTTGCTGAGAGGCATCTGCTCTACCAACTGAGCCACCTACTATAAAACAACTTTTATGGTAGGCTTTCTTTCCATCTAAGTCAATGGATAAAATAMTTGAGTAATTTTGATGTTCTTGGCAAAGCTCCTATAGTCACAAAAATCTGCAACCAGTTTTATAAWCAAAACTGTATTCTTTAAATTGGCTTTGGCACAAGATTGGTTTAGTACCTTGTTTAGACATATACTTTTTGTGAGGATGAATATTCATCAGAGAGGACACGCCTGCTGTTCTTGTTTGCAATGATGATGGGCATGCTGACAGATAAAGTCAAGCAGAAATCCYCATGGACTATGATGTTAGCAGACCACATTGTAGTCTGCAGTGTGTAGATGGAAGAGAGCCTGGAGACAGGTGGAACAGTAAAGATGAAATGAATAAAGATATGAAGGTGGATGAGCTTAAGTGTGTGAAATCTATCAGAAATGCCCACACTGGGGTACTTTAATGCTTTCGAGCAGAACACACCAAATCATAGGTTAGTTAAGGGAGTTTCTTGCACTCTAGGTAACACACACACACACACACATACTTACACACATACACAGTCCAACATGTGTAGAGAATTTGTCAGACAGACTTGGAATCAGAGTTAGGAGGGAATTCCTTCATCTGCACGCTCCTTTCTAGCTGCACATGTGCGCAGCAGCTGCTCTGCACTCGCACACACACGAACAGAAGGAGAGCCAGTAAACACAGATCAAGAAATAAGAAAAACATTTTCTCAGGCATCCCACTGTCTCCGTCTTTCAACAATGTCCTTCTGACCTTCATRGCAGCCTGGAAGAAGCTGCTGGAGAGGCGGCAGCTTATGCCATCTCAGACTTGCCAATCTGATMTGATTTTTTTCTGTCCTGCACCTCCCATGCCCTCTACTGCTTGACGGCTCATTCACCTGCTTTTGACATCTCAAAYGTAGTGCACATGTGTTAGTTGCTCTTTTGGAGGTTGATCATGCGAGGATGCGTGTGGACATGCGTGTGTGTCAGGCGCACAAATATTGCGTGCATGCTGCGCTCCACTTTTAAGCACAAACAGGCGCAGCTCCATGTGTTCTGTGGTGTTTCTGAAAATTGGGGGGGTGGGGTGTTGGAGTTGTTGTGCAAACAGCACGCTGTATGCCAGAACACATGAATAGTAGCCACATGCAAATGCAAAGCAAATCTTGCAGAATATGATTGTATCAATTTCTGATTGCTTTGTGTGAGATGGGGCACTTGCATAACGTTGAGAAAAATATTTGTCTATACAACATTGCTTTCATAATTTTTGTGTTTTTATTCCTGTGTGATGAAACTGCATGAGCCGCAGAAGCACCAAAGGCATTTCACTTGTAGCTGATGTGTTTACAGATGTTTTTAATTTTTCTTTTTTTTTTTTCCAGGATGTTGGAGTACTCACTCAACCTCCAGAATGTTAGTTTTTCAGCAGTGAGGACGGTTCGCGTGCTGAGGCCACTAAGAGCCATCAACCGGGTGCCAAGTGAGTGCAGTCTTTTAATGTTTTTCTCAAAAACTCTTGAATCTGACTTTGTAGTTGGAATGCTTTGTCCTTTAATACACAAGAGCTTTGTTATTTGGCTGTAGGCATACACACATTTTGGGTCTGAAACAAAAGCCAAGATGCTACAGATACAACACTCTATTTTAGCTAGTGTATGGCACCTATTTAAATTTAGAGAAATGCCCTAGGTCATTTACATATGTCAAACTCTTCAGATGTTTACCCTCATTTCTCACACACAATACAATGGGGTTGGGGTGGGGGGTTGAGCAGACTGTCGGCCACAGGTAAAGACAAAAAGAGGGGGCGGAGATAACAATGGAACAGGGAAACGAGGACTGGGAGAGGTGGGAAATGTATTTTTAGCGGCAGAGCAGTTTGGGAGATGGTTGKTTATTACATTTTTTCTTTTATGTCCAGGTACAGGTTCTTAGCCAGGTAAAAACCAGACCATTGTCCTTCACTTTGCTTCATATGAGGGTCTGTCAATCACACATTACCGTCGTCGCGGGAGGGGGCTAAAAGTTCTGCGGGGCGGCCGAGCCGATGCTGCGAAGCCCGGTGACGTAATTTTCGTCATGAAACTGTGACAACCCGTGCGGACGTTGGCAGTTCAGAGGGAGTATGTTTCCAGCTTAAAGGACTGTAGTTCATTTGTAGACTGCACACACTAAAAGCTACTGGTTGAAAACAATAACTATTTGCAACTAATCTCTGAGTTTCTTTTGGACAGAACCAACTGTGGTTATGTCTAATGGTGCGTTCACACCGAACGCGATTTCAGCATCAGGAGCCTCAGGTTTACRTACRAAGTCTATGGTGGAYGCGCTTCAAGCAACGTCGKGAARTGCTGYGGCGCCTCAAGCGAGATTAGAGCAGAGCGATTTGAACGATTTGAACGATCTGAGCGTTCAACGCACTGAGGCGCAAATCGCTGAAGTTAGAAAATCTGAACTTTTGCAGCTCG